AAGGAAGGAAGGAAGGAAGGAAGGAAGGAAGGAAGGCTGGCTGGCTCGCTGGCTGGCTGGCTGGCTGGCTAGTTGGTTCTTGGAGAATGAGGGATCAACGAAAGATAGTGATAATCAAATTAGGAAGCATGCACTCTGCATACAAGTACTCATAAGCAGCAATCATAGGCAATATCTTTAATAGAATCAACTAAAATGGCAGAAAAAATATGGTAGCATTTCAATTATCCAGAATTTTTTCTCCAGATGTAACAAAAAGGATATGGAGAAGAAGCAAAATGCTATTACAGCCAGGAGACCTGTTGCTTAAATGTGTTTGTGTGTGTGCGCGTGCACACGTCCCTTGAGAATCCAGAAGATGTAAATTGATGTTTCCTGTTTGGAAAATCGGCTAAGAAATAAAAATTCCATTACATAAATGTAGGGAGATTTAGAAGCGTTGCTTTGCATTTGTGTTACAGTGTGCAAAGTCAGTGTATCAGTAACAGTCTTACATTTGGTAATCAATGGTATTTCCATTTTATATGCTAAGCCAGATCCTTGATGCGACTGAGGGAGTTGAACTTTGAAATCCAGTCTGATCGTGATCTCATGGAAGTTGCAGGTCCCCATCTGCTCTTATTTTAAATATTGGCCTTGAGTGATCCTTAGCACCTATCACACCCTACACATTTCTCTAAATCATCCTTCCCCAACTCAGCATCCTCCAGCTGTTGGCATATAACTGCCAATGTCTAGTAGGGATGATGGGATTTGGAGGCTAACACCTTTGGAGAATGTCAGGATGGGGAAGACCAATATACAGTGGAACCTCGGTTTATGTACTTAATTCGTTCCGCGACTCTGGTCGCGACCCAAATTGGTCGCAACCCGAAGCAAATTTTCCCATAAGTTTCAATGTAATTAACGTTAATCCGTTCTGGTGTGGAGGACAGGGAGGCGGCTATTGCTTGGAGGGAGAGTCCCCCTCCCTACGACCACGTGTCAGGGGCAGAAAATGATCGCGGACCACGTGTCGGGCAGAAAAATGGCTGCGGACCACGTGTCAGGGGCGGAAAAATGACCGTGGACCACGTGTCAGGGGCGGAAAAATGA